TCTTGGATATGTATACTCATCTTTATAGACAGAACGACACAAGTGTCTTTTAAGAGCTCTTGTGTCATTCTATTGATTTCACAAATATTTTGCTTCATTTTCAAAGAAACAACCTCAAAAATTAGATCTTCTAACTTAAGAAAGTTAGAAAAGTTGATCATGAAAAAAAGAACAGTTGAATTGACAAAGATTATATGACATTGAGTTGGTGAAATCACAAGTCTTGTATTGATTTGTTGGAAAATATAATCAATGAGCAATACTATCAACTTTTGTAAATGAAATGTTCATATTGCAATTGAAATGAGTTCAATTTATTGATTATCGGGGTATGGATGGGTTGTGACTACGTATACTCGTGTTTGTAGACAGAACGATACAAACGTCGTTTGACGGCTCTTGGGTCATTATGTTGATTTCTCAAATATTTTACTTCTTTTCCAATGCAGCGAACTCAAACATGGATCCCCTAATTTAAAAAAGTTAGAAAGGTTGATCACGTGACAAAGAACAGTTGAATTGATATAAATTATACAATATTGAGTTGGTGAAATCATAAGTCGTTGAATTGATTCGTTAGAATATATAATTAATGAGCACATCTCTCAATTTTTGTAAACGGCATGTCCATCTTACAGCTTAAATGAGTTTTAGGGCATGGATGGATCGTTGCTGCCTATACTCATATTTATAGATAGAACGACACAAGTGTCATTTTCTTTACAATAACGGCACAAGTGCTGTTCTTATGAAAAAAATATGTTTAGATAACGGCACTTGTGTCGTTCTTTTAAAAAAATTTATCTTAGTAATGGCACAAGTCACATTTTCAATGACCTTTTCATCCTCTAAATGGCACTTGTGCCGTTCTCTTAGAACTTTTCATCTCAGTATTGACACAAGTGATTCTATTATTTTCAACAAAATACAAGTAATGTGCACGTTTCTTAATTTTTTTTAAATGACATATCCACCTTGCAAGTTAAATGGTTTCAATTTATTATTTCACGAGGCAAGGAGGGTCGTGATTACTTAAACTCATAATGATAAACAGAACGGCACAAATTTCGTTTTATTATCAGTAATGGCACATGAGCTGTTCTGTTGATTTCTCTTTTATTTTCATTTGTTTTAAACGCAACGACCTTTAGAATTGGGCACCCTAAGTTGTGCAATTCTCATAGTAATAATAGAAGTTTATATTTACGTATGTCACTTGTGCTATTTTATTAGAATTTTTCATCTCAAAAACGGCACTGATACCTTTTTAGAGACTTTTTAAATACTGTAATAGCACTTGTGCCATTCTCATGGACACTTATAAATCAAATATAGTGGCATTTGTGCCATTCTCATAAACGTTTTCATCTCAGTAAAGATACAAGTGTCATTCTCATAAACAAGTGATGTTCTCGTCTTAGTAACGGCACAAGTGTCATTCTCATGGACAAGTAAATTTATAATCATAACAGCAGTTATGCCATTATTGGAATCTAGATTAACAATTAATGAGCATATTTCTCAACTCATATTTATAGATAGAACGACGGAAGGGTCGTTTTCAATTGAGTGACGGCTCTTGTGCCGTTCTATTGATTTTTCCTATATTTTGATTTTATTCCAATACAACGATTTCACATATTGGACCTCTAATGAATCATAAAAAATTTCATCTAAGTAATGGCGTTTGCTCCGTTCTCATGAAATTTTGTAACAAACATAAAAACACTTATATCGTTCTCATGGATGCTTATATTTCTAATAACGAAACATGTGTCATTATCATGAAATAACAACAAACTAAAGATAGATGTAAAATTAAAATGCAAATATTTAATTAAAAAGACATTAACAAAATGTAGGAAAAATCAACAGAACAACACAAGTGCTGTTATTAATATGAAAACGACCCTTGTGCCATTATGGGGTTGTTTGAGGCTCCCCCTTTTTTTTTCAACAAATGAATTTTGTAATAGTGTTGTAATGGGGAATGTATGGTTAAAAAATAAGAAAAAGTTTTGAGTTTTTGTATAATATTATTTTATTGAAAAACGTGTGGTTAAAATGTGATCAAATTACTGTTCAATAATGTATTTTGATGAAAAATGTGGCTCAAACAAAGACTATTCATGTTAACACGAGTAAAAGTAGCTACGTCTAATCTATGTTCTGAGAACTAATAGTGGAACTTATTTATATTATTTATGACATTGTCAAATTTTCTATATTACATATGTTAAGGAGTCCATTATTAAATGTTGTTTTGTTGAAAAAATCGAATGTTGGCAAAAATTTCGTAACGACACAAGACTTGTGTTGTTACTGGACATGAAAACGACACTTGTTTTATACGAGTATAAGTAGTCACGATCCATTCTTTCACTAAAAAATAATAACTGGAACTCATTTATATTGTAATACGTACATGACACGTACAAAAATTGATAGATATGTTTATTAACTTAATCGACATATATAAGTGTGATAATTTGTATTTTCACCATCTTGATAATATAAAAATTATGTCATTTCAATCATTCTTTGTAACTAGTCAATATTTTGTGTTATATACGTTAGTGAGTCCATTATTAGAGTAATCTCGTTAAAAAAATTAAATTACAGCAGATAACGACTGTAGTGTTGTTTTACTTTACATATAACGGTGGAGTGGTGTTCTATATTTCAGATAGCAATTGTAGTGTTATTACATCCAATGGTTGCAAATAAAACAAAAAGCATACTAAATACGCAAACAATACAAACTAAATATTATTTAATACTATATTTAATAATAAAAATACAATATAGCTAGGATTTCTAAGAGCATCTTTCCTCTTTCTTTCTATGTAAATGTATGCTAACCAACTCTTGTTCAAATGTTATTGAAGAGAAGAAAATAGGTAAATGTAATTTTGAGGGGAAGAAGATGTTATTTTCAAAAGAAAAAAATTAGGGTTCTAAGATGCATTTGAAGGAAAAATGATAAGATGAAATGAGAAAAATTGGAAGACATTGAGTTAAACAACTAAAGGAGAATTTTGTCATTTTGCCAACTAAAATATTTTACATTTTTTATTTGTTTTTATTATTTGTCAAAGGCCATTTCATTAAATGCATTGTTTAGTTGGGTCAAATGGCCAAATTCCCCTTGAAGAAATCCTTTGCCTATCATTAATAAATTTAATCCTCAATGATTCCTTTGTTTCATGGTAGAGATGGAGAACATCTCTAGTCATTGTTCTTCGAGAAGGAACCTCAAATTTAGGAAAACAAATTCCTTAAAACCCACACCTTCCACAAAGGAAAAAAGGCAATTCATCAATAATAATAATCATCTTAACCAATACTTTTCTACACTTTGTTTATCAAACACTATAGCCATAATACCACCATCATTGTTTTCTTGAGTCAATATTGCTTGTTTATCATCAACCGTAGTGTTCTTATAAGCATAGCAAGCTTTTAATACTTCCACATGGTAAAAGTTCCAGAAGTAGAAATAGCATTAAATGTTCTCCCACAATTATTACATTTCGCTCTTTCTCCACCAAGTATCTTAGTGAAACGATTCCATATTTCTAACCTTTCTTTAGGTTGTTTTTTGTCTTCTATTTGAGCATCCAAAATTGGTATCACCTTAACTAGTAACTTAGCAAAGTTCCATTGAATTTAGTCTCACCCAACACTCTTACATGCATCAATTAAAATAGTGTAACAGGGAATATATTCAACCATATCTCCAAAACCATAACATTAAAATATCACTACCATCTTTATAACCCATTTAATTTTTCCTTAGAACAAGCAGGAAAATGTTGCAGGGCTCAAAAGGTATCATTACATGTCATTAAGGATCAATGATTGTGGCACAGTAGCACTAAGTCCAGGTGAAGAAAGTGACGAAAAATTTAATTTATAAACTAAGAAGTTTCAAGTTAAATGGAAACAATTTAACATATTGCCATAAATATTTCATCTTTTCATTTATTTGGTCTCATTATTTTTATTTTTGAGATAGAGAATAGGATGACACCTATTCAACAACTACAAACACAGATTAAATTTTTATTTATTCGCTTGAATATCTCCGGTAAACAAACAATCATAGCACGTCAACATTAAATCATACAACAGAAAATCAAATGAATTTTTTTCTATAATATATTTCTTAATATTATCTCAATTTAATGAAAATTCAACGATACAAACCCTTACACCAAAGTGATCAATCAAAACATCAAAAACACAAAAATCTCCAAATAAAATTAAATAATCAAACAAAAAAGAGAACCATAATCGATTCAAATCTGAGTCAAATAATCAACAAAACCAGAATTTGAGACTTGTTAGAATTAAATACCGACATGAATCTACAAGAAGAGATGTTTCTGAGAATAAAAAATTCCCCACTTTCCCAGCTTCAAGCACTTGTAAAGTCCAACGGCATTATCCCCATTTACTTCAATCTAATAACATTGGTGGTCTTGGTCGGAGATGGGCAGTTCAACAAGGAAGTTGGATTTGGCGGCTAGTAGGTTTTCACTTTTCAATTACTCAAATGGATTTGTTAGGTCAAAGAGAGTGAAACAATCAGACAACATTTATACAAGGCTAGTCTTGGCCACTTGGCCTTCTTGAGTCTTGGGCTCAATATTAGACTAATAATTGGGTCACTATTAGACTAATAATTGGGCCAAAAAAACAAAAAATTGGATTTAATTAATTAATTAATTAATTTGCTAATTTATTTAGAAAAAAATTAAATAATTTGATTTATCTAATATAAAAAAATTAAATTTTTTTGAAAGATTCGATTCTTGGTTCTTGCCGAACCAAACTTATCGATTCTCGATTCAGATATCTGTTTGAATATTTAACCTAAGAAAAACCACATGATTCGATTCGATTCGATTTCGGATGGGTTCGGACATTTTGCCCAACCCAGTTATAAGTTGGATGACTATCAAAACATCTTTAACTCCCTAGTTTTGCATAGACGATAGTTTAATAAAACAAATTAATCATTTGTTTGATTGATTTAACAGTTAGACAATTACAGAATCCGACATAGCACCTCGGTGACCGGGTAATACGGCTTGCACTCAGTCACCAGACTTGTCTTCTGCTGTAGTTGATGTTAATTTTCATCAGTGGTTCTAGTCAACCGGTCATCGCCTCCGCCCCCTCTTTTAACACACATACAGAGGTGGGTCTTTGTTGGCATCTTTCTTATCGTGGCGTTGACAGCTTGCTGGGTGGTGCTCAATCGCAACTTTTCTTGAAGATTCTTGTTTAATGGAAGTGAGTACCCTTTATTGTTTGTTCTTGATCTATGTTTTGTATTGTGTTAGTTACTAACATTATGTTCAATTTATGGGTTTTATTTATATTGATGTCTTGATTTACTAGAAAGTAAAATCTATGATCTTAAATGAGTTTCTATTTAATGAATGATTAGCTGTGTTAAATTGGTAGATCTAATGCATATTCTGGGTGCGTAAATAAGGTATATTTGATTTTGTTCTGGTTTTGGTTGCTGAAAATTGAACTTGAGTTTAGTCTTGGGTATAGCGTATTGGGCTTGTGGGAGGACTTATTATTAACCTATATTTTCTTGATTAAGTGTGGGAAGAAATTTTTGGGATATAAATATATCTTGCATCTATATATGATATATGGTAGCAGTAGCATGGGGGCATGTTGGGGAGAAAATGATGGAGAGCTAGCAATGTGATAAAATGGGACTTCTTTTGGGTTTTGTTTGGATGGTTGGATGAGAGTCAAAAGCTGTATTTTTAGGTTAGAGTATGAGATTTAGGATGATGAGAGTAAGTATCAGGATAGTTCTAATTGCAAAAGCTTGGAGTAGGATTTTGAAGGTGTAATGGTGATACTTTAGCCCACCATTAACAAACAGTGATGTAGATGAAAAAGGAAGCTCAACTATTTCCATATCAATCCCCTCTCTCTTTAAATATTCCAAATCTCTGTCATCTCCTCCCAACTCTCATCACTTCTAGAAGCGCAAATCTGAGGAAAAACGCTGTTAAATGGAGCTGCCTGTTGGTGATAAAGCGTCAATGGCGATCTGCCTGAAGACTAATTGAAGTCATTTAGCTTTTTTACCATTTTGGTTTGATTATATTTCTAGTATTTTGAAATCTGAAGTCTGAAAACTGTAGTCAATGTCTTTTGTATGAATGTATGTTGGATATTTGTGTACGAGTCATTTTGTATGGATGTATACGATCCAGCTTGAGAGTAGGTATTTGTAGATGAAATTCCTTTCCAATAATTTGAACTTTGTCTTGTAGTTCTTTCTTTATTTGACAATTGCAACTATTAGTTGGGAAGGCTTGTTTGTTAATTCACTAGGTAGTGATGCCGAGACAACTGGTGAATATATTTCATGAGAGAAAACTATATTTTCTGGAATATTGAACTAATATATATATATATATATTCACTTTCATAGTTCTCTATTTCAAAATATCTACATTCTCCCTCATTTTCTTCCTCATTATGCTGTGTCTTTTAAGTTCCATTACTATTTTTGTACATAATATTATTTTCTTGTAATAATATTGGTTTTTGTAGAAAATTTCCTGAGTTCCAATATAATCTTGCATATGTTTCTGAAGAAAATTTCTTTATTAGAATAGCCTTTATACCTTTTTGTCCAAATAATGTAATTATTTGATTATTTTCTAATTTATAATTAGTAGTACTATTTTCCCTAAGTCTTTCTATGAATCCTGTGCAAATTAATAAATTATCCTCAACTCTTTTTATTTGATGTCCTTTGCTTTAATTCCTATTTTAATATCTTTATGTAAATTTTTTGTTCTAGCTAAATAGTCTGATGTAAAATATACTATCCCGCCTTTATTATTCATATCTAATTCTATGCTTCCTAATAATCATTGTTCTATATCTATGAACCTGGTATCATATAAACATACTAATACTTTAGCTCCTAAATTTTCTCTATGAAGCCCTTTTACTCCTATTATTATTAATCCTAAATGAGTCTGTTGAAAATCTTTATTAACGATTTTTTTATAAGATTCTTTTTCTATTAAATCTAGAGATATAACAAGAAATATATCTTTCTCCATAATGTTGATATATTAAAGATTTGCTAAATAAATTTCCTTTTTTATATATGTCTAAAGCTTTTACTAATTTCAGTTTATTCTGTCTAAACATTTCTATTTGTTTTTCTATATCTATTAGAGATTCTAGTCTTATTTTGGATTCTGTTTTTCTGCTTAATGTTCTTAATAAAGGATTACCTAATAATTTACTACTATTGGCTATGATTTGTTTTTCTTTATCCATTATGTATAGGTCCACTTAGTTTTCTTAAATCTACTAGGTTGTTTAGTTTTAACTAAATCTAATTTTTCTAGTTTATTTATTATATTATCTAAATTTTGTCTATTATCTGTCGACTTTTCTTTTTCTAATGCTTTAACTATGCTTTCCAATTTTTTTAAGTTAAAACTAGATTATGTTTCTCTTATATTATTAAATTTTCTTTTTAGTATTTCGGCATTTTGATTTTTAATATATTCTAGATTAGTTTCTAAATTCTTTATATTTTTATTTATATTTTTTTTATAAAATTTATATTTTTTTATTTGAATTGTTCCTTTCTAATTTTTTTCTCTAACTTTACAAGTAAGTCTACAATATTATTTAACTGTTTATCTTCACTATGTAAAGCATGTCTAAACTTATTATCAAAATTACAGATTAGAGAAGCTGCTTCTAAGTTATCTTTTTTTTTTTTTTTTTAATAATTTCCTAAAATTTCTTTTCTCCACCATCCTTGTAAATTCAAAAATTTCGTAATTAAAGTAAGTTCTTTTCATATCTCTCTTGTTTATAATTTTTGTTTACTTTATTATTTTTCGAGTAAGACCTAAAAGGGGAAACACCAAGTAAGCAATTAATTTATTCACAAATATTTTACTTCTATTTCAAAAATATATTTTTAACGCTCTTAGCCTCTTTATTCTAGATTTCATGGCCAAAAGATAGAATAATCCTCTGAGTTAAGTTGGCTAATTTGTGTCCCAATTGTGGGAGTTTGTTAAAGCCTTTTTAAACATGATTAAAATATTTTTGGTTATAGTCTTAAGCCTTCTTTAAAAGGTTATAAAAGAGTTTTAAAAAAATAATAATAAATCTGAAGAAATTAATTTGCTGAACAATAAAGTACTCAAAGGTCATTACAAACATATCGTTTTAAAGTTCTAATATTTTATTCTTTTAAATTACACTACCTTGTTCATTAGAAAGGTTTAACGAATATATTAATACTTGTTTAGAAAACAGAGAAATAGGAAGATTAGGCGTTGTAGGAAGCCATATTTTATCCGTGCTAGATAGAAATAGAGGTGACTCCTTTTTACATATCAAGAAGCAAATCACCGAACTCTCTATCTTTCAGTGTCGGAGTTTTTGAATAAAAGATCCTCAAGATTGTAAAGAAAGACAACAACAAGCAAAGGTTATAAGGGAAAATAATAAAAGAAATTTCAGTAAAATTGTTAGACATTTTTAGCAATTGAACTTTAGTGGCAAAGATAAAATAAATTGGTGGAGAATTTTTTCAAACTTTTTGTCTTCAAAAATTAATTGATAGTAGACTTTTTATTGTTGCTAAGAAAAATTGGTTTTCAAAACTTTTGTAAACTTTTGAAAGATAAATTTTTGAAAGACTTTTTGCTACTAGTCTTTTCTTACAAAACGTATAAAAAGTTTTGAAAGACTTTTTCTTTCTTTGACAAAGACCTTTTTGCTACAGGATTTCTTTTAAAGACTGCAAGACTTTTTCTTACAAAGAATTTATTACAAAAACTGTCAAAATGTGTTTAAATTGATAGTTTTTCTAAAGACTTTTCTTTTCTTACTTGTCATTTGCAGAACTTAAAAATTTACCACCATTAGAATTACCATTAGATAGTGAATTTAAAATAATATAAACAGATGGATGTGAATTAGGATAGGGAGGAATTTATATTCCAAACCAAATAAATATAGTGATAAAAAAGGAAAAAAAAATTGTAGATATGCTAGCGGAAAATACAAGATAAAAGGAAAATATTTATTTAGTTTAGATTATGAAATAATGGCCATCATACATAGTATAGAAAACTTTAAATTATTTTTAAACATTGAATTTATAATTAGGACAGATTGTGAAGCTAATCTAGAATAAGTAGATTTGTATTTTGAGTGTCATAAACCTCTAACTTTGCACTTTTATTAGGCTAGTTTGTTAAAGATGTGAGGTGAATCTATTGCCATAGAGTTCAATGGTTGAGTTCATTCCCAAAACTATGTTTACTAGGTAGAATGCTTCATGCAGCAATTGGGTTTAGGACAGAAAATGGCAACAAGTATAGATGCTCTTTTCAAATACAAGTCTCCAGTTATTTGATGTCAATTTGGAAATTCGCTTCGGGTCCATTTGATTGTAAGGATAGAATTTGGGTGGAAAGAAAATGAATTTCAGGAAATTGAATTGCCTAGAACTTGTTTTACTGGGAATTGACAATTAAATGTGCTTGATTGGTATAATTTTTTACCTGAAAAATGTTGAAATTTTTTATTTTTTGGTATTCATTTGTCTTTGTTTTTCATGATAATTGTCAACTAAAGGGACAAAATTTGTTACAATTGCCCGGGGGTAAAAAAATGTGGTTGGAAATCCAATTCTCACCATTTGGAATGGTGAGAATTGGATTTCCACAAAACCATAGAATTGGCACATGCGTGGAGGGAAGTTGGAAAACAAATTTCATGGAAATTTTAAGCAATCAAACAACACAAATTGGGTGGAAATGGAAAACATTTTCCATGAAAAATCAAGGCTATCAAATATGGCCTTAGTGGTTTAGTTCAATAAATTCGCAAAGCTGCTCTTGCTATAGAAATTCATACAGATATTTTCCTTCTATTTCTTGAGGAGGTTGGTTTCTCAGGTCTTTTCCAAATTATTATTATCAAGAACTAATCTACGGCTAACAATATTTTAAAAACTGCAATTTATTATACATATGAACTAATAAATGAGATCTACAGAAAAGGACAGTTTCTGTGATGACTAATAACAGCCTGTAACAGGTATTTCACCAAAATAATTCAACAGTTTACGTCAATATTCAAATTTGTAGTTTCTATAAATCATTTATAGTAGTTTGGAACTTTGTTTCTTCTATATATTGTGACCAGTTGAATGTATATTGTATTTCTATTGGTGAAATATATTTCAAAACTAAGTCAGTTTA